TCTCTAGTGATTGTGCTAAGCTTTCTACAAGCCTTAGCACCCTATTTATACTAAATAGGTTGAGACCATACAACAGGTCGATTTCCAATTCTAAAACTAATTGGAATGGACAATTTCCTTTTTCTTTATGGAATAGGAAATTGTCCTTTGTCTTCATGTTTTCCTTTTCTTCTTGCAAAAGGAAACTCTTCAGTCTTCTAGAATCTTCTCTAAGCTTCTAGTCTTCACTTCAAACCGCCATAACAAGATTCTGCATATTTCCTTAATCTTGTTCATGTTGCTCTGTTCTCTTGAGTTACTTCTTGACTTAGTTCAGGTACTCCTTCAGAAGCTGCATCTTCATCTTCCAGCTGTCCGAATCAGGACGCGCCTTTTTCTTCACCAAACCCATCGTCCCAAACCGAACCTTCCTCTCTGACTGCCTCTGCTCTTACTATAAATACAACCAATCCATCCTCATCCAGAACCCAACAAATCTACTCTCAAAAACCACAAAAAAGAATATATATATTTAATTGGCAATGGCGATGATCAGTTACTCCACCGTTGTGGTTGCTCTGCTTGCTTCTTTTATGATTTGCTCTGTTTCCGCCAATTTTCAACGAGACGTGGAGATAACTTGGGGAGACGGACGTGGACAGATCACAAACAACGGTGATCTTCTCACTCTCTCTCTCGACAAAGCATCAGGCTCAGGATTCCAATCCAAGAACGAATATTTGTTCGGTAAAATCGACATGCAGATCAAGCTTGTTGCCGGAAACTCAGCTGGAACTGTCACCGCTTACTATGTAAGTCCATTTCCTTTAGTGTTGTTCTAAAGTACACATATTTAGAGTGATTAGGCTAAATGGGTTTTTGTTTGGTTCTACGTACAGTTGAAATCTCCTGGATCTACATGGGACGAGATTGATTTCGAGTTCTTGGGAAACCTAAGTGGAGATCCTTACACACTTCATACCAATGTCTTTACGCAAGGCAAAGGTGATAGAGAACAACAATTCAAACTCTGGTTCGATCCCACCAGTGATTTCCACACTTACTCTATCCTCTGGAACCCACAACGCATCATGTAAGTCTAGATACTATATTAGGTTTTACTTTTGATTACTTAATTAGAAACCTTAGAAAAAATAAAAATAAATGAACCGAAATCTTGAACACTCTTTTGAATCTAATCTTGTTTTTTTATTTTTTTCCTATGTATTCAGATTCTCCGTGGATGGAACTCCAATAAGAGAATTCAAGAACATGGAATCTCAAGGAACTCTGTTTCCTAAGAATCAGCCGATGAGAATGTACTCGAGTCTATGGAACGCTGAAGACTGGGCCACAAGGGGTGGTCTCGTCAAAACCGACTGGTCTAAAGCTCCCTTCACAGCTTCCTACCGCGGCTTCAACGAAGAAGCTTGCGTCGTGATCAACGGGCAGTCGTCCTGCCCAAACGGGTCAGGACAAGGAAGTAGTGGTTCGTGGTTGTCCCAGGAGCTAGACTCGACCGGTCAAGAACAGATGAGATGGGTGCAGAATAACTACATGATATACAATTACTGTACGGACGCTAAGAGGTTCCCTCAAGGTCTTCCACGCGAGTGTCTAGCTGTGTAAAGCTTTTAAACAATTGATCCAAAGCTATGAAAAATAATACTATTCTTTGATTCAACATTTAAACTATCTGATGTTTGATTACATCTGCTTTTTTTTATTCATTCTACGTAAGTATATGTGTATCACTTTACCAAAATAAAACATTTGAACGGATGACCGGAAAATTAAAGTCATAAACCAATGAACAGTTTAAACGAAAAAGTTCCTGAACATTATTTACTGAGATTCTATTATTGATTCCTCAAGCATAAGCTATAAAGTATATGCTATTTGATTATTAAATAATCCAATCTTTTATCGATAACAATGGTTGATTTATTTAACACTTTCTTTTTCACAATTTAACCCTCCACATTATCTTCTCTCTTCGACCTAATAATTCAACATTCATTTCAATTTTAACCTCTACAATAATTTTATTTAATAATTTTCAACATTCTACCTCACTCTTTTATTTCATATTATTTTTCTTCTTTATGTTTTCTGTTTTTATGATTGTATACTAATAACGATTAGCGATTGAAACTAAATAAAAATAGTTAAAAGAGTTAATCATATGTTTTCTTTGTTATTTTAGATTCTTAATTTTTCCAAGTAATACAAAAATGAAGAAAAAAAATATAGAAATTATTATGAAAACATATAAAGTTACAAAAAAAAGTAAAATGCAATATAATATATTAATGAGCATACAACACATTTTAATAAAACACACATAACTTAGTTAGTACAACAAACTTAAAAAGACGGATTATTTTGAGGTTGGTTGGAAAATTTATTTTGAAATTGATAATTATTGTGATTTGTATAGTTTAAAGATTTTTGGATATTAAATAGATTATTATTGGAATCCATTCCAAAAAAAAGATGAGTTCTTTTATCCAAATAAAATAAAACAAGTCTCTATTAATAGAGTATAAAAATTGATGAATTTTGATATATATAAAAAATATATAAAAAGATTAAGGGAGACTCACAAAAATGCCCCTTTTTTAATACCCCTTTTCAAAAATGCCCCCTTTGGCTGTCCATTTTTAAAAATACCCCTTTTTATGTACAAAATGACTAAATTACCCTTCTTTTAATAAAAGATATCACAAATATATAAGGAAATATAACAAAATTAGGTCCACAAAATACAAAATATTTTTTGGCGGGAAAAGTGATCCCGCAATTTTTCCCGCCAAAACACTTGTAAAAACTTGTAAAAAACCTTTAAAATACCTTGTAAAATTTTCCCGTAAAACTTTTTCCCGCCAAAAAATTTTTTTTGCGGGAAAAGTGATTCCGCAATTTTTTTGGCGTTAAATTTTTGGCGGGAAAATTTTTCCCGCCAAAAATTTACAAGGTATTTATAAGGTTTTACAATGTATTTTAATAGGTTTTACAACGTATTTATAAGGTATTTATAAGATATTATAAGATTTTACAAGCTATTTTATAAGGTTTTACAAGTTATAAGATTTTACAAGTTTTCTATAAGGTTTTACAAGTTGTAAATACTTTATAAAACCTTATAAGTACCTTGTAAAACCTTTTAAAATACATTGTAAAACTTTACAAAACACTTGTAAATACTCTGTAAAACCTTTAAAATACCTTGTAAATTTTTCCCGCCAAAAAAATTGCGGAATAACTTTTCCCGCAAAAAAATATTTTTGGCGGGAAAAATTTTTGCGGAAAAATTTTACAAGGTATTTTAAAGGTTTTTACAAGTGTTTTGGCGGGAAAATTGGGGATCACTTTTCCCGCCAAAAAATATTTTGTATTTTGTGGACCTAATTTTGTTTCAAATAAGGGTAAAATGGTCATTAAAAATTAAAAGAGGGCAAACTTAAAAATGGACTCTCAAAGGGGGCATTTTTGAAAAGGGGTATTGAAAAAGGGGCATTTTTAACAATTTCTCTAATTATAATAAGGGAAAGTTACTAGACTAACCCAAATTATGAGTTTAATTACTAGAATGTCTCGATAAGTTTAGGAGTTAAATGAGTTATTTTCATGACCATAATACCCTTACTCTCGTTGTTAGGAATAAAGAAAAGTCAAAAATACCCTTAAATATATTTAAAAAACGTGGTGAAAAAAATTTGGAAAAAAAAATTATTTGAAAAATCTGCTGGGTTAGTTGTGACAGGTTTATTTACCATGACAGACTTATTTTTCTATGACAGATTTTTTGCGACAGATTTTTTTTCTCCTACAGATATTTAATTTATAGCAGATTTTTTTCTCACGACAGACTTATTTTATGATGACACCACAGACTTTCGTAATTTTGACAGATTTATTAAAATGTGTGGCAGATTTATTGTTTTAGTGGCGTCAGACTTATATTTTTCGAGAAAAATATGTCATAATGTAGAAGATCTGTTATTAAAAATATAATTACTAGTTTGACTTATTAGTGATAACAGATTTATTTTATGTTATGACAGTTTTTTTTTTTCTTAACAAAAATCTGGAGTGTGATAGCAGATTTGTTATATAAAAATATAAATTGCTAGAATGACATATATTCACAACCGAAATATTTTATGTTATGACATATTTTTTTTATATTATGACAGATTTCAGATAGACTATAAAAAAATCTGTCGTATGATGACAGTTTTATTGATGAAAATAAAATTTTAATCTGCACAATAAGGTAATGACAGACATATTCTTATCGCGACAGACTTATTTATAATAAGATGGTTCATGTGTGGCTGTCTCCTTGTTAATATATGATAAAGATAATTTTTTCTTCGTTTTTATATATTTTTTCTTTTTAATTTTTTTTTGTATTTTTTTGTTTTATTTTTTTTGTTATGTATTTTTTTTTCATTTTAATTTTTTTGTCGTTTTGTAATTTTTTTCTAATTTTTTTATTTAATTTAGTTATTATATGTTAATTATTTTATTTTAATTGAATTGAAAATAAAATGGGTAGTTGTTTTCTTTTTGTTTTTTGTTTTTTTTTTCAATTTAGATATATATTTTTCATTTGTATTTTTTGTTTTTTTTTTTTCAATTTTCGTTTTTTGGTTTTATATCTTTTTGTTTTTTATTTTTTATTTTTTATTTTATTTTTTTCAATTTATATATATTTTTCATTTGTATTTTTTGTTTTTTTTTTCAATTTTCGTTTTTTGGTTTTATAATTTTTTTTTGTATTTTTTTATTTTCTATTTAATTTAATTATTTTATTTTAATAGAACTGAAAATAAAATGGGTATTTGGTCTTTTAACATAAAATTTGTGTTATTCTAGTAAACCACAATATTTGGGTGTTAATCTAATTATTTTTCTCTAAATTTGAGTCAAACTAGGTAATTTTCAGTTATAATAATTGTTTTGACGGATACACAACAATTTTGGAAAGAGAAAAAAAGTTCCACGGGCCTGTCTACGTTGAACCGTGTAAGGCATAACTCTTAATTTAAATATTATTACAACAAAGTTTAAGACTACCACGTCGATAATGTGCCTCCACGAAACTCTCTTTATATAACCTCTTATTTCCAATATTCATCTAAATCCATCGGCAAATACTTATCTCTCACGGCGAGTAACAACTAACAACAGAGAACCGGGGGAAAATGGCGTGTTTCGCAACCAAACAGCCTCTGTTGTTGTCTCTCCTCCTCGCCATTGGCTTCTTTGTGGTGGCTGCATCCGCCGGAAGCTTCTACGAGAGCTTTGATATCACTTGGGGCAATGGTCGTGCTAACATATTCGAGAATGGACAGCTTCTCACTTGTACTCTTGACAAGATCTCTGGCTCCGGTTTTCAATCCAAGAAGGAGTACTTGTTTGGTAAGATCGACATGAGGCTCAAGCTTGTCAAGGGAAACTCCGCTGGTACTGTCACCGCATACTACGTAAGGAATCTCCTTTTGAATTTATTGATTTAGAATCTGACATATTAGAGTTCTTATCATCTCAAAACCAATCGTTAATAAATGAAAATAACTCCTTTATGTTGTGTGGCAGCTTTCATCCAAAGGAGCGACATGGGATGAGATTGACTTCGAGTTTTTGGGAAATCTCACAGGACAGCCTTACACTATCCACACCAATGTCTTCACTGGAGGTAAAGGTGACCGCGAGATGCAGTTCCATCTCTGGTTCGATCCCACCGCGGATTTCCACACCTACACCGTCCACTGGAACCCTCTTAACATCATGTGAGTATATACAAAGCTTATGAACTTTTGACACGTCTAGTGCAATATTTTTCTTCTTTTGAGGTTATCACTTGTTGTGTTCATTATTTATAAGCGAAAAATCTTACATTGAGCACTGTAAAAAAAAACGAGTTCTCTTGACGTCTACTGATATTTGATATGTTTCCTGACATTGATGTTGGTTTCTTGTGTCTGAAGCTTCCTTGTGGATGGTATTCCAATTCGGGTATTCAAGAACTACGAGAAATATGGGGTGGCTTACCCTAAGAACCAGCCGATGCAAATATACTCAAGTCTTTGGGAAGCCGATGACTGGGCGACACAAGGCGGTCGTGTGAAGATTGACTGGAGCAACGCACCATTCAGCGCCTCCTACAGAGACTTCAACGACCAAAGCTCATGCAGCAGGACATCGAACCTAACATGGGTGACTTGCGACCCAAACAACAACTCATGGATGTGGACCTCTCTCAGTGACCGCCAGTACGGACAGATGAAGTGGGTGCAAGACGATTACATGATCTACAACTATTGTACTGATTATAAGAGGTTCCCTCAGGGTCTCCCCAAGGAATGTACTAAACTTGAATGATCGTTCTATGAGAATTTTCGAGCACGTCTCTTAATAACTTATTTCTTTTCTCTTCGTTTTATTTCATTCTTGTGATGTTACTTTGATTTATTTTGTTCTTTCTTTTGGTGTTTCTGAGATACGATAATACACGTAAATGTATACTTCCTGAGAAAATAAAAAGTTGTACTCGATAATAATACATTCTATCTTGCAATGTGGTGTGATTGTTTATTTGTTGGCCTACAGTGAAAGCAACATCGATGTGCTTTTAAAAAAATGCAAACGAAAGGAACACACAACAACAGAGTCCCCTGTTTATATGGAATATGGATAGATGATGATTAGAGTCTTTACATTGTGATTTAGTGGCTGGTTACTATAAACGCTTACTTTGGATAACAATTTTTAACTTTCTACATGATCTTAATTAGTAAATTATCAATTGAGTTTCTGTCTCTCTTTTTTTTTTGGACAAAATTTTTTTGTCTCTTTATTTCTCGTTTTTGGTAGATTTACAGAAATCTCAACTAACCCATAAAAAAATAGTTTATTTGGAAACAAATCATATACTCCTTCTGTTTTATATTATATGATGTTTTAGATATTTTGTTTTGTTTCACAATATAAAATGTTTTAGAAAAAAATACAAGTTTATATGCCAAAATTTTAATTCATTCAATTTTTTGACTATTAATATTCTGCAGTAAATTTTATCATTGGTCAAATTATCTTTAGTTAGATATTAAATTATATTTTTGATGTATATAAAACCATATAAATATTAATTATCTTTTTAAAATTTGTAATTTTATCCAAAACATCAAATATTTTGAAACAGAGGGAGTACTAATGTTTGACTTTTTATCTTCTTTCTTTTACAGCACTATTAATTGATCTAACTCAAATGTAAAAATTCTTCACATGTTTTTTTTTTTTGACATCTTTGGATCGACAAGACCCGATCCATAGCCAATCCCTACTACGCAAGGTAACATGATTTAGTGGAGTCGAACTCCGGTGGAGAAGGCGGAGTCAAGTGGACTTAATCACTTGACTAAAGACACATCCCCAATTCTTCACATGTTTATATTGTGAAATTTAGAAATATAAAACATATATTTTAATTTCAAAGTTTAATGAATGCGTTGGTTGGTCCAACTAACTAATAGGGCCTAACATTAAAGACTTTAAGAGCCACATTTAGGAAATGAATTTGGACAGTCCAATTTAAAGCACATAACGTGTCTCAATACCTATTCCCTTTCTCTTCGACAATGATTTTAGCTTGAATGGATAAACAATATTTGCTGTAAAAAAAAATACCTATTTACTTTCTCTTCGACAATGATTTTTTCAAAGTAAAATTGCAATTTTTGATATCCTAGATATTTCATTTCATATAATTCAGTTGCATTTTCAGGATTTTACACACTTTGTTCAAGTCTCCACAAATGCCACTTTTTCCTTCATTCCATCCAATTTGACGTCGAAGGGACATTCAATAAAAACAATAATCACAATACTAAATTTTCCTAAATCACTCAAATCAAACCCCGTTGCCAAAAAGTAAGCTCATCTCCCAGATTAAGCGCTTCGCCGAAACCGAGTACCCAGTGCCAACAAAAAAAATACATAATTCATCCAAACAATAATTTTTCTATGACAAATATCAAAAGACAAAAGAAAAAAAAAAACAAGACACAAGTTTAATTCACAGATAAAAAAAGCAGGTCCAAACAACAAAGGACAAGTTAAGTTTAGGTTTAGATTGTTGAATAAGAGCATGATTAACAAGGGTTGCTTAAAAATGGTTCTTAAAAGTATTAAAATAATAAATTTAAAAATGGTTTTTAAAAATGGATCTTAATGTTAAATTTGGATCTTAGCTAAGCCACTTTAATTTTGGATCTTAGTATTTAACAAGATTTTTCTTTAATTTTTTAGCTAAGATTTAGCTAAGAAATAGTTAAAACACCACCGATAATGGTGGTCTAAGATGGTACTGAATTGTCATTTTCCATATTGATTAATTTCTGGTTTAAGTCCAAATCACCTCGTTTAGAGCAAATCATCTCTATATCCATAATTAGAGATGTAGTTCTAAGAATTATGAAAATTTGATTTTAGCCTAGAAAAATTATAAGGCAAAAAATTCATATAAAAAAATCATCAAAATGTTTCCATTTTTTCTGATAAAAGTTTTGTAAGCTTACAAAATTAACTCCCTAATCACTATATAGAGAGGAAAAGAATTCAAACACGAAGATTTCAGCTATCACTTTTGGAGATAGGACAAAAAATTAAATTAGAAAGTCCTTACGGACCAAATTCATTAGAATCAGTTAGTTAATCAAACATTCAATGCCAATCGAGAAGTCCAACTGTATTTCATTACAATCTTACTCATACAAGATACAACTATACAAGTGATCTGCAAATTGCCGCGTACATATATTAATATCTATATATCTATACTTGCCATTTGCCAAATTCTTTCAACTCCAAACCATTATATATTATATACAATTACAAATTTTATGTTACAGTCTTCCATTATTCTCTCATAAAAACACATCTAAAATCTAAAAGAAAAATTGAGAGAGAGAGAGAGGGGGGAATAATAAGATGGTGAGACTGAGAGAAACAGAAGTGATCCTGAGGCTATGTATCGTCTTTTTTATTCTCCTCAGTTCTTGTTTGATAGGTTTGGATTCTCAGACCAAAGAGATTGCTTATATCCACAAGAAAGTCAGTTTCAGATATTTGTTAGCTCTCGAGTAAGTCCATTTTTCTTTATTTTTTTATCAATTATATAGATCTAAACTGTAATGTAACTATTAGTCTCATCTCTTTATACAGTTTCATATTATTGTGTTAAAAAAAAAAACCTTGAAACTAAAACATCAATGTATTTAAAACTCACTGAAATGCGTCTGATACAGATTGTATTTAATGATTTGAGTTTTTATGCGCTCTGAAAAGAGGGTAATGATTATACAGTTTTTGGAAGATTCTTGTATTAATATTTTAGTGAAAATTTCTGTTTTGGTTAAGTCTATATGAAAATGACATTTTTTTACAGTGGGGACTGCTACTCCTTTTGTTTTTTTTTTTGGTTTAACAACTCTTCAAATATCCATCCTCTCACAAAAAGTTATATATAAGTTTTCATTTTACAATATGTTTGTGTATTGTTTATGATTATACAATATGTATATATGACAGGGCTGAGTTATACATAAATGTTGTGGTTGCTGCGTATAATTTGGTTCAAATAGGGCTTGGTTGGTATAATGTTGAACAAAAGACCTCTAATCCCAAATGGTTCTCTTACCTCTTGGATCAGGTATGCATAACTCTCTAATTTTTTTTATTTTTTTTTTAACTCTCTAAATTTAGATTATCGTTGATGTTACTATATGTATATGCATGTGTGTGTGAGTGATGATAAATGTAATTAACATAGACGGCGGCGTACGTGGTTTTTGCGGGGACATCAGCCGCGGCGCAACACTCATTGCTGGTGGTGACCGGTTCAAGGGAGCTTCAGTGGATGAAGTGGTGCTACAAGTTCACAAGGTTCTGCTTTCAGATGGGAAGTGCCATCATCTTAAACTACATTGCGGCGGCTCTCATGGTCCTCCTCTCCTCCATCTCCGCCTTCAACCTCTTCCGCCTCTATTCCCCTAAACGTTTCTTTAGCTTTAAGTCTTCCTCCTAATTAAATACCGTGTTAATTAATCATTTTCTTAATCCGAAATAATGTTGATCAATGTGAAGAAAAAGGCTGAAAAGTTAATTTGTGTGATCTTTCACTATGAACAATAAATATCATCAGTCTATTGCTTTGACAGTGTACGTATGTAAACTGAATTTTGTCAAGGTACGTACTAAAACTAATAAATTTTCCTTGCACTTTTTTATTTTTTGTTATTTTAGAATCTTTGGTGATACATTGCTAGTACCGACTTCCAATCTATGGAAGGCCTAGACGGATAGGATGGGGTTGATGATGTAGTTGTGATGAGAAGAATAAGGGAGGCTAGGAAGATTTAGGGAAAATGATAGAAGATTAAGAATGAAGACTTATATAGGATTAGTTTTTGGTTTTTTGCTAGTTTAAGATTACACTTACCACTTATGTGCACATGCACTCTTTGTCACCTAGCACAATCATGCACTTAGACCAACACTGACCAACACATGTGTAGATCTCAGCCATTATCAAGATTCCATTTCAATCTTAACCATCCAAACTAGTTCAATTTCTTAGTTTCTTTAATCAATTCTTAATTTCGGTAAAATCTCGCGATTTTACAGATTCCGTCACAATTCATAGGCCTCCAAGGTTTCAAACTCGAAGAGTAGGTTCCTAAAGAATTTATTCAATTATTTTTGCGCGATTTCTAAAGTATAGGAAATGTACTATTTTCTGTGTAAAAAAAAGGTACTATTTCCCAAAATCCACCAAAATTTTCAAAATGGTATCTAACCACGTAAGATATTCATTCCACGTAATATTTATGTCAGTGAATAACATTTGTTTATGAACTTGAGACCTTGAGTATATATTGTTTCTGTATTTATCGTTACCAAAATCTGAGTGTATATTAGTCGAATAACTCCACAAAGAAAGTCCTTAATTTCAATAACGGTCAAATTTTAATTTATTTCCTTTGTTTTGGTCAAGTATTTATTTCCTCTTTATAGTTCAAATTATTAGGGGTATCACAATATATCTATGTATTTAAGTTCTTTCCTTATGTATGGTCAAAATACAAAAAAATAAATAAATTGTTTTCTCTTATATAACCCTTATCAAGTTTTATGTTAAGTTAAAACAAAAAATTTCCCAAAGTCAAAGAAAAGAAAAGTTTGTCAAAGCAAAAGAAAATAAAAAGGTATCCAATTGTATAAATTGAGACATACCCATTTCTTCTATTTCTCTAATCTCTCTCGTTTTCTCCAAGACATTATCAAGCCGCACCATCACAAAGCTTGATAACTAAAAAGCTTCCTCCTTTTTTTCTCTCTGAAAATTTCCGGGAAAACAAGAGACTCTTAAATCAAGAAAACTCTCTGCCAAAATCCTCAAAATCAATTGATTGAACGAAACCCATCAATCAAATCCCCTCGTTTCTCAAAACCCATATCTCCTTTTCTTCTCTCACCTAGATTTTAGCCGTAAAGTAATCACCTTTTCAACTTCTCAAAAGCCCTCTGTTTTCTCATCTCTCTCTCTCTCTCTGCAAGGACGATGAAAGAGTATTGGACATCTTTGGCTTCGCTACTCGGCGTTTTAGCCTTTTGTCAAAGCCTAATGAATTCAGTATTCCCACCGGAGCTCCGTTTCGCCTTCTTGAAACTCTTCAACAGAGTCTTTAAACTCTTCTCCACCTTCTGTTACTTCGACATAACAGAGATTGACGGCGTCAACACCAACGAGCTTTACAATGCCGTCCAGCTTTACCTCAGCTCCTCCGTCTCCATCGCCGGTAACCGTCTCAGCCTCACACGCGCCGTCAACTCCTCCTCCGTCACGTTCGGTCTCTCCAACAACGACTCCATCGTCGACACCTATAACACCGTCACCGTCGTCTGGGAACACATCGTTACACAGAGACAAACTCAAACCTTCGCTTGGAGACCAATGCCGGAAGAGAAACGTGGCTTCACGCTACGGATCAAGAAGAAAGACAAGAACTTGATCCTTGATTCTTACTTAGATTACATCATGGAGAAAGCTAACGAGATTCGTCGAATGAATCAAGATCGGCTTCTTTACACGAATTCACGAGGTGGGTCTCTTGATTCAAGAGGTCTTCCTTGGGAATCTGTCCCCTTTAAGCATCCGAGTACCTTCGATACTCTGGCCATGGATCCCGTTAAGAAGCAACAGATCATGGAGGATCTTACGGACTTCGCTGAATGTCAATCTTTTTACGAGAGAACTGGTCGGGCTTGGAAAAGAGGTTACTTGCTTTATGGACCTCCCGGAACAGGGAAATCGAGCATGATCGCCGCCATGGCTAACTATCTCCGGTACGACATCTACGATCTCGAGCTCACGGAGGTCCAAAGCAATTCAGAGTTGAGGAAGCTATTGATGAAGACTAGCTCCAAGTCGATAATCGTGATCGAGGACATTGATTGTTCTATCAATTTAACGAATCGGAACAAGAAACAGAGCACAAGGAGCTACAATGAACCGGAGATGTTAACCGGGTCCGGTTTAGGTGATGATTTCGGTAATGGGAACAACTCGATAACGCTTTCAGGTTTGTTGAATTTCACTGATGGACTCTGGTCTTGTTGTGGTAGCGAGAGGATTTTTGTGTTCACGACGAATCACATTGAGAAGCTTGATACTGCATTGCTTAGAAGTGGAAGAATGGATATGCATATCCACATGAGTTACTGTACGTTTTCTTCGGTCAAGATCTTGCTGAGGAATTACTTGGGGTTCGAGGAAGGTGATCTTAGCGACGACGTTTTGAAGGAGTTTGAAGAAGTTGTTGATAGGGCTGAGATTACGCCGGCTGACGTGAGTGAGGCTTTGATTAAGAACCGGAGAGACAAAGAGAGAGCTGTGAGGGAGCTTTTGGAGGATTTGAGAAGTAGAGTGGAGAGAAATGAGAAGAATGGGAAATTGAGGGGTCAAAATGGGAGCTTGGAAGAGCAAGAGAAAAGAGCTTTGGACAGTGTTTACGCAGAAGAGAACGGAGGAGAGGAAGAAGAGATTGAGGATAACATTTGCAAAAGTAGTGATGATTATTAAGTGTTTTATGTTTCATTGTTTCTGACTAGGTTTCTAGCATTTCTATGTTTACACAATGTGAAAGTTGTGTTATCTTCCTTTGTTTCTCCTTTTTTGGGTAGTTAACTTTTTGAAGTATTACCATCTTCAATATATTTCCCTATTTTTAGCTCTATTTCTATAATAGAGATAAATTTTCTCTATTTTTATTTCAATGTGTTCCTCTAAAAAATTTAACTCTATTTATAGTGGAAAAAATAGAGATTCTCTATTCTCACCTCTATATATAGAGAAAAAAAATAGAGATCTCTATTTTAGAGGTGGGAATAGAGGTGGGTTGGAGCAAATTTGCCTCTAAAATAGAGTTTAGAGGCAAATATAGAGGTGAGTTGGAGATGCTTAAGTTATAAATAAAGTGAAGAATGAGGCAGGAGGGTAATAAAAAAGAGCTAGAGAGTTAGTTAAAATAAGCAAGTGGTCGTGATTAAGATTTTTGTATGTGGCGATCGGGGAATGCAAAGAGATTCATTGGTTACCATTGGCATATGATTTGGTGTTGTTAATAGTATAGTTACACTTTTGACATAGAATTCCATTTTTTCTTTAATATAGCATTCCATTTTATTTTTAATGAAACAATTATGTGTTTTTACTATTTATAGGTAAAGTTGTCTATCGTCTGTCCAACATCGGATGTCCCATTGGATAAGATCAATGCATGCCTGCCAATTTTAAAAGTACAAAACGCAGGACAAATTGTATAGCCTCAAGAGTTAAGACCAAACATTGAAGTTGACATGTTTCTTTATGATTTTCTTAGCATTGTGGACTTTCTAGACTCACCCATTTGAAATTGTCATAATATTGTGTCGCTTTATGTATTACTTACTTTATTTTAATTTATGCTTCTGTCAATTGGTCAATCTGTCCATCGAGTCAATTAGTTGAGTTATGAGTGTACTGTGCATTTGATAATTAAATAATACAGCAACTTAGTGAGTATGTTATTCGCTAATATGGATAGCTTTGGATGTCTCGAGTCACATTACCACAAAGAGAATAGGACTTGAAGTTTCCGAAAGAGATAAAATAACAAATGTATAAATGTCGTGAAATAATAATTATGTAGAAGAAAATATCAAAAAAGATAAATCGAAAAGGGAAGATTTTGATATTAATACCTTTTTATGGATTCGCTGAGAAATTAAAGGAAGATTTGATTAAGAAGTAAGTTGGAGATGATGCATGTACATTAGGCTTTTGTCGGAAAACTATAAAAGACTTCTAAAGCCCATTTTAGTATTCACTTTTTTACTTTTTTTTTTTTTTTTTTTTTTGCATCTCAATTTTCCATCGAAGCTTAAGATCTGACCCTACTTTATACTATATGATTCGGATTATCCAAAATTTTTAAGCTAAAACTAATAGAAATCAATTCGACTGTCCGGCGAGTAAACGGCTCTTCGCTAACAGAAAAACCTAACTTGAGTCAAAAGTCAAAACAATCTAATTTTAAATAGTTTCCAAAAAGTTTTTATCTTAAATTACTCGTAGTTATCCGTAAGTATCTAAACTATGAATCATAGCCCATTAAGCCCAATGAAGATGACCCAATCAATTTAAAAGCCCAAATCAGAGTGACGTATATATTATACGTCAGGTAAATTCTTTGTGTCGTCAAACTATGTTAACAACTCCGACAAGATTCGTTGCTCTAATAAGAATCCCATTCCGATCTTCCATTAAGTTTCCGATCTCCATTGCTCACTTTCCCAAAGGTTATCCTCAGAAAACAGTTATCAGAGCTTTATCAAATCTCCAAACGATGTCGACCCCTGACGCCGCCGTCAGCGCCACCGTCACCGACGCCGGCAGAGGATCGATCACTCACGTCATATTCGACATGGATGGTCTCCTTCTCGGTAACTTCGTTGATCTTTGATTTTTGGTTGATTTGTGTTACTGTCACTGTTGTTAATACAAGTTTTTTTTTTAGTTCTTGATTCCATGAGTTCTCTGTTTCATGGTTGGAAAATAAACTGACAAAAGTATAGTATGAGTGGAGACTGAAATTGGGCTAGTTTTGGAAACTTTAATCTTTTTTTTAAGCATGTGGTTTCTTTAGTTTCAAATTCTCAGAGCTTCATTGATACAAATGGTAAAAGATCTGTCTTGCTAATCCTCAGGCTCTCATAGCTAATGCTAAATTTGTCTACTGTTTGCAGACACGGAGAAGTTTTACACGGAGGTCCAGGAAAAGATACTTGCTAGATACAATAAAACATTTGATTGGTCTTTGAAGGCAAAGATGATGGGGAGAAAAGCGATCGAAGCTGCCAGGCTTTTCGTTGACGAAAGTGGAATCAGTGACTCTCTTTCCGCTGAAGAGTTTATTGTAGAAAGAGAGTCAATGTTGCAAGACCTTTTCCCCACAAGTGACCTTATGCCAGGTACACAATCCGCATTTTCTCGCTTATGTACTTGATAAACAAACAGAGAAATGGTTCTCCCTGTTGATTAAATTCAGTTTGTTTTGTTCCATTTGAATCAGCCTCTACTACTAATCACTGAAAGATATTAGCGTGTAGCCTTCTTAATCTTCTGTTTTTCTCTGTGGTGATCCAATATTCTTCCTCTAATGCAGGAGCCAGCCGACTTCTCAGACATCTCCATGGGAAAGGAGTTCCAATTTGTATAGCCACAGGGTATCTCTTTATGCATTAGCACATTCACTTCTTATGATAGATGATCACTGAGAGTGGAAATGGATTTATAGTTTTTGGCATTTGTGATCTGATTTTGCTTTTTCTTAATGCAGTACACACACACGACATTTTGATCTTAAAACACAAAGACACCGTGAGCTTTTTTCGCTGATGCATCACATAGTGCGGGGGGATGACCCAGAGGTGAAGCAAGGGAAGCCCGCTCCAGACGGCTTTCTTGCTGCATCCAGGAGATTTGAGGTACAGATGGTCACTAAAACTGTACTTGTAACCATAGTATCAAACTAAAGCACAGCTATTAGCATGAGTCTTTGAGAAATTAGTTTGTAAACCAATGTTTTCCTCTTCTTTGTGGATTTCATAGGACGGTCCTGTAGATCCACAGAAGGTTCTCGTGTTTGAAGATGCGCCTTCTGGAGTCCAGGCAGCTAAAAACGCCGGAATGTAAGTGAATTTCTTGTAATAGTTTCAAAGTTCTCTTGGCGGATGAACAATTAATGGTTCAGTTTTGAGCCCTAAAACCATTGTCTTTGAATGTTGTGTGTGTGCAGGAATGTGATAATGGTACCGGATCCAAGATTAGATAAGTCCTACTGCAATGTTGCGGACCAAGTTCTGGCCTCTTTGCTAGATTTCAAACCAGAGGAATGGGGCTTACCTTCCTTCCAGGATTCACACAACTAAAACCACAAAATCTTTCAGGGCAACGTTATCCTCAAGCTAACGATACTTGACTCGTTGACGACTTTGGTTCTTTAATGATTAAAGCCTCTGTACCCTATACGAGAAAGATCATTGCAAATTATAGATTCTTATTGGGGTAATTTAAAACAATATATTTATGTTCGTGATTTGATATCTGATTTATGATTGTAATTGTTATCCAGACCGTTAAGTGTGACTTTGGTGAGAAGGATATGGGATCGATTGTTGTGAGTTTGGATTACATTCGAAGGTCATAATAACTCATAAGCTTAGATTGTGTGGGATGTTGTGATTTTGTCGTTAAAGTGGTTTACTGGTTTGGACTTTAACTTGTACTGAATACTTGGTTTCTTTTTTTCTGAATTCAACTTTATAGATGGCTAGTGACCATATATATATTCAAGTCGGTAGCCAAATTCATAAGCAAGTCTTTGCTACGATTTTTTAGAAACCGACATGATTGGTACATGACATTGAATGTTAAAATCAAACCTCTATTCTCTACCAAACCAAATTGCAACTTATCTTTTGTAAGAAACTTTAATGATTGCAACAGGCGAATATAATAATGTCTCACTTTTTAATTTGTTTTGTCGTCCGCGATTAACATACTCACATTATTAATCGGAATCGAAGTTAGCACTAATACAAAGAATGTCTATATGTAGCAAATGTTGCATCGTTTTAAAAGAAGTGCAATATATTGCTATTAGATAACGATATTTTTTGCACTCGTTAGTCGTCATTGTTTACTATCAATGATTTCTATATCATCATCGTTAATGAAAATTTCATGATAGGTAGATGTATTTTTAGTAAATAGATTTCTTAGTACAAGTGATTGAGGATAGGATAATTTGATAATTAAAGAGGACGCAAAGTTTGGCGAGTCTTTACTCTATATAGAGAGAGATTGGGTCTAAGCATTCACATGCGCTTATGAACCGTCCAACATCAACGTTACTAACGTGTGATTCGTATCAAAGTTTACATAGATTTCGCAAACTTTAATTTATACTCTTGAAAAACTATATGCTTAATTTTTGCCGTTTAGAGTAAAGAGTCGTACACCCATCAATTTTCAGATATATAAGAGCCAACCCATATTTAATCTGGTTGATTAGAGAGGACGTTATAAACATCTTTAAGATCAACAACATATAACTGATTGCACAAAAAAAAGAAAAACTATTTTGATGGTGAAGGTCACATAAATCAATTATTTGATCCAAATTGAAGTAATTTTGGTTGTTGTTGTTACAAAACCACTATGTTATAAGTTTTTGTCAAATTCAAAGTAATCTCTAAAAATAATAATATTGGATAATATATGGTACCTTGCTCGTGCAAAAGTAATTGAATCATTGAAGTATTAAGCAATAGTTTCTATTGAATAATACAAATTCAAAACCCCTTAATTACATCAACTTGATAATTCATAAATTCTTATGTTCCATCTACTCTACCGGACGACTCCCTCTCTCCCTCGATATATATACCCACTAATACCCAAATTCCATTGACACAATTCCCTCTATATATCTCTTCTCTTAACGAAAACATCAAGCCAAGAACCGAGCATACGAATCAAGAACACATCATAACTACTCACATTTTGTTGATTCTAATTATGAAGAAGGATATATGCAAGGAAGGATCATCAATCTCGAGAAACTCATCGGTGGGATACTACGATGAGCGGAGGCCAGAGGGTATTCCTTTCAAGTGGGAGATGCAGCCAGGGACTCCCATTAATACTCACCCACAGGAGGATGTTCCTCCATTAAGTCCCCCTCCAGCGATGCTCAGCCTTGGCCTCCCCAAGCCATCCATCTCCATCGAAGAGCCAAAGAACTTTGTGTTTCCAGCGAAGCTGAAGCTGAAGCTGCGGAATTGGAAACATCTTCATTGCAAGAGATATTTTTCTAGATTGACTAACAAAACGGTTTTGTCTTCGATTTGTTTGTACCATAACAAACGCTAAATGTGCAAAAATGAATAAAACGTATGGAAATGGACCAAGTTTTTTCTTTTTATAATAACAATTTTTTTTGTAAGTTAGGGTAGGCCTATTTCTTCTGTTTTTTAAATGACGTATTTCTTCTAAATCCAAAAAAAGAAGTTTATCAGTTAAACCAAGTAAACCGATTTCAAGTTAGCTGCTAATACTACTTTGTAGTACTACAATTATTGTTAATGTCAGAAATAATTGATTATCAAATTAAGAAAGGAAAAATTTTGTTAAAATATTTGATCGTGTATTTTTTGTCGACAAAAACTTCGTATTAACTGAAAATCTAAATGGTAAGTTATACAAAAAAAAAAGTTATACAAGAGTCAAAGGGTCTACAAATGAGAAATTGGAGGTTGACTTCGTTGCGTCTTCATTAACTCTGACCAATATGTGTCGAAATAAATCATGTCACTTCTGATTTGTTTGTCAAAAAAATCAACGGATGGATTCGATGGAACCTCTGTCCGGGGGAGAAACTGCTTGATTCATTTACTCCATAGTTTTATCATTAATCACATCCCCTCCATTTCATGAAAACTATTTTCTTACATTTTTTTACATTCAACATCCTTAATATAACTACAAGTATTAGTTAGTAGTATCAATCAAATGTAAATTTTCATAAAATTATTTTTATTAATCACTCCACTGCACAAAAACATACTTTTAACGTGAAAGTTACAAACACACATCTTACTTAATTACCACTACAATCATCTAACCCACCCTACTTATTTAAGTAGTAATGTTTTATTAAATAAAATTTAAGAGTTTAGACATGACCAAACCGAATTAATTCTAACAAAACCGACTAAACTCTAAGTGAACTAAACCGACTAAACAAAAGTCTTGGACCATTCCCCTAACTATACAACACAAATCGGCCACGATCTAAGTGAACGATGAGACATTAAATGACGGAAAGATGGACCCAACGACCACCGCCTCCTCCGAATCCATCCATATAGTTAATGCTCACCCAACTCTTTTCCTTATTTTATCATCTCTCTCCATATTTACATAGTTACTATACTATATAAACGGAGCCAAAAGATTGAGAACTATCACTTTGTCTATTGTGATGAAGAGTGTTTTAAATCTTTAGCCTTTTGAGTTTTCAGATTCGTTTCATACATTGAACTCACTGGTTCTTTATCAAAAAGAATTATCATCAAAAAGATTCAGAAATAGCGTTTAGCTTCAACAACTTCTCAAATGGTAAGTGGGTTAACGTTATTCTATAATCACACTTGTAATCTCAAAAAAACTTTTAACAATTTTTAATAACTTCCAACACTTCTCAAATGGTTATCTTTTAAAAAAAACTTCTCAAATTGTAAGGGTGGGGAATAAATAGTTTATATTTGTAATCACAATTTTTTTTTTTTTTTCGTTATCACAATTTTGGTTTTTTATAATATAATTTTTAGATATTGTACACTCTAATTAATTAGATTTATCGTACTTCTTATAAATCCTGAATTCTAACTGTTAGAACCTATAATATAGTGGTTTTAAGACGTGGGAAATGGTGATTAATCTGAGCCAGTTTTCAACCAGAAATTAGGTGTTTAGTTTTGACACATCGATTCAGTTATTTTTGGTGTGTAAAGGCAGAAGAAGAAATGAGAAAGCACCTTGTGCTGGCCAAACCTTTTTCATTGGAAGATGAAAAAGATTCTGAGCACACAGCTTCGAATGTCATCCGCAAGATCCTCAGCCTCTTCAAGACCGTACGTCCAGGATCTGATCTCACCAATTTTCAGGTGTAACTTCTCAATGACCTTGGTGAAGTAATATTATTGTTGTGTTAGAACGACTATTTGCGTATGTTGTTTTTCTAAACAAACATTATTATTTTTTTTTTTTGTGAAGAACAAAAGATGGAATTTTTCTTACGATCTATGTTGTAATGTATTTTTTTAGAATATAAATGTTAAATGAATATGTTGCATGATTTATAAAATGATACGATACATATAATAAAGAACAACCTTACTATGTACTATTTATTAGTTACAAATTTATTGTAAGCTGCATAGGTTTTAAAATTCATGATAATTCATAAGATGTACGTGTATAATTATTGATATTTTTTGTTAATTAAAAATATTAATTGGTTCTTGTTTTTGTTTGACCATCTCCAATATTTTTCTCTATTTTTGTTTTTAAAATAGAGGAATTTTATAATAAAGATGAGTTTTACTTCAATGTATTTCTTTATTTTTTCTTCTAAAAATTTTAATTTTATTATAGAGAAAAAAATAGAAATACTTTATATATATAGCAAAAAATAGAAATTTTTATTTTATAGATGAAAATAGAAGTGGGTTGGAGTAGATTTTATTATATAATAAAATATATAGACAAAAATATAAGTGAGTTAGAGATGTTTTTAGGATTAACTAGTAGTGTTTTACATATCTTCGTAGGTAGGTCCACTACACTATGCATGAAAGTGAACCCTCCAACTATTACTTCATATCAAATAACTTGAAGAAAACCTTTCTTCTTTTATATATACACCCATTTATTTATATTTTTTAAATCTTAGAGAGATATTAACTATTGGGGGCACGTGCCCACACCATGGACACTGTAGATCCGCCAGCAACTAATTTTTTGGGTTAATTATACACCACTTGTAACTTATACATATCACAGCATCAAACTCTATAAACAGTTGAACATTTATATCTCGTACTAATCAAGGCATTTTCCAATTAATTTATTTAGATTATGACGTTTAGCTTAGTACGTGATTATTAATTATTTTTCTTTGATCGTAAAGCTGCCACCTCAGCTGAACCTACCAAGATCACAACTCCAATGTTACGGCGAGATGGTCTACAGCTTCGGCGGTCAGGATCTGCTTGGGGAATGCAGCCGCCGTGACCTTCCCATCGAACGGTTTAAATCGGTGGTGACGTGGAATATATCCACACTCCGTCCGCTGGTCTTTGGCATGTCTCCGTACAACTCGGTTCTCGGCGAGACACACCACGTCTCCAACGGTCACATCAACGTCATCGCCGAACAAGTATAATCATTTTTTTGTGAATAACTAAAATAGTAAATTACAATTATAAACGAAACATATCGTAATTAATTTTCAGGTAGTGCATCATCCTCCGGTGTCCGCACTTCATGCGACTCACGAACAAGAAAATATCGACGTGACATGGTGTCAATATTTCACTCCTAAATTTCGTGGTATATGATTTATTTTTTTCCTTTTAATGTAGCAGTCAAATTGTTTCTGCTACATCCCAAATCATCTCAAAACCAAGTCTTTTTTTTTTGGTCAAACCTAAAAACCAAGTCTAATTTTGAATAATCCAAAAACGAACACAACCAATTCGAATATGCATCCGGTTTACACTTTTAAACCGAACCATGTCGTCTTGGTTCCAAGTTCCACCATCTAATTTCTGCATGTACTCATTGAATGGTCCATAAGGTACTTACGTGGACGTTGAGGTAAAGGGTAAAAGAGTAATGAAGCTTCTGAATCGTAAAGAGACTTATGAGATGGACCAACCGAGACTAATCATGAGATTCTTACCGGCGCCGGGAGCTCACTGGGCCGGAAAAGTCAAGATAAAGTGTCCGGAGACTAATCTCGAAGCTGAGTTACATTTGATCTCCGATTCCTTCATTGAAAGATTCAGAGGCAACAACAACAGATCACTTAAAGGAAAGATCTTTGAATCTTCCTCTGGTAATCAGCTCTATAACATCTATGGCCATTGGGACAGGTAAAGAAACTTGGAATCATAACGTCATTACAGCTCTTAAGAACATGAAAAGCTTTGAAAGATGTCATTAACAACCCCATGATGTTTCAGAACGGTAATGGCAAAAAATCTGAAGACTGGTGAGGTCGAGGTTATCTACAATGCCAAGGAGAATATCACAGGACTCAAACCTCCAACTGTCAAGAATCTGCAGGAGGTAATGGAGAGCGAGTCAACGATGGTGTGGAGTGAAGTAAGTGAGCGTATACTGAAGAAAGATTGGGAAAGAGCAAGAGAAGCTAAGATACTTGTGGAGGAGAAGCAGAGAGAGGCTCTGAAACAGAGAGAGACTTCTGGTGAGTCATGGGTTCCCAAACATTTCTCAGTGGTCAATAAGGGTAAAGACTGGGACTGCTCACCGCTACAGCCCACGGTTCCTCCGGGGCCACTCGTCATCACAGAGGCGCAAGGAGAAATCTTAAACCGGTTTCAAGATTCCAACACTCTATGTTGATAATTATAGCTCGAGTTATTTTGCAACTATAAATTAATAGAAAATAGGTGGATAATGACATTTCCGTCAATAAGTATTAAAGGTGAATGATATTTTTGTTAATTCATTTGTGGTTGGATGTGTGAACTATACGTCAGGCTTTTGAGAAAGAGTCTTATCAAGTATTATATGGGATTTTTCACATCCGCAATATATAACCTAAAATATTTTGTTTTTCCTCTACAGAATTATTAATCCATCTAACTCTAAAATGAAGATTCAATCTGTTTCTCTAGTATTGGATGGTGAATATGCATAAACTCTTAGGTGTATTCAATGAGCTGTGTTAAGATAATAAATTTCATCTCCATAATATATTATTAAGCATTAGGCAACCTTTTTAAAAAGCATTAAGCTAGCCTTAAATGACCAAAACATGGATCTAGCGACTAACGCCCCCTTCGAATCCATAGTTAATGCTAATCCAACTCTCTCTTTTGATATCCTATCTATCTTTCTATATAGATGAAGAACAAAAAGATTGATAGTAATTATCATTATAGGTACTATATATATATATATATGATATGAGTGTTTTTTTTTTTTTTTGGTAAAAGGGATATGAGTGTTTTAACTCTGCTTTTTGAGTTTTTCAGAGACGTTTCATAAATATAACTCCTTGGCTCTTTCCTTAAAAATCTCATCTCAGAAATATAGTTTCTTTAACAACCTCAAATGGTAATTACTTCGTGAGTCATACACTTTTTTGGTAAAGAAGTGAATCTAACACTTAGACTAAATTTACAGATCTAATCTTTTTGGTTGTGTACAGGCGGAAGAAGAGAAAATGAGAAGGCACCTTGTGCTGGCCAAACCTTTTTCTCTGGAAGATGAGAAAGATTCTGAGCTCACAGCTTCAAGTGTCATCCGCAAGATCCTCAGTCTCATTAAGACCGTACGCCCAGGATCTGATCTCACCAATTTTCAGGTGTAACTTCTTAAAATCCTTGTTTTAATTATTGCGATATACAGTATTACAGAACGAAAGACCATTGTATATGTTTTCAACTTTTTTCAAAACACACATTGATAATTTTGAGTGAAGAAAAACAGATCAAGTTTTTTTTAGTATAAATGATATTAATTATTTTAGTGTTTTCTTTAGAGTCTATATTGTGCATGAATAACAAAAAGATAGGATCGATATGGATCCAACAGTTTAGAAATTTATATTTATGTTATATTTTCCGTACAAATCACGTCATTGTCCATAAATTCATAATATGCATTTTGTTTTCTTTAAGAACATACACAGTAGGATAAACTTGAGTATATATGTTAGAATATTTTTAATGTTATAATAAAAAAAAAAAGAGAAGAGTGAGAGAGATAAAGAGATAGAGATAATAGAAAAGAGAGTGAGACATATGGCACTTACACCCGATTATAAGTCTACACCCATCTTCTTTCTCTTTCATCACTATTCGATTATTTTTGTTTTTTTTAATCATAACACCCGAACAAAAGTTACGCCTCAGTGTATGGCCTAAGAGTTAACAAAAAAAAGAGATTTATTAATTATTATTTTTGAACGTAAAGCTGCCACCTCAGCTGATCCTACCAAGATCACGACTCCAATGTTATGGCGAGATGATCTACAGCTTCGGCGGTCAGGATCTACTTGGGGAATGCAGCCGCCGGAATCTGCCTGTCGAACGGCTCAAATCGGTGGTGACGTGGAACATCTCCACACTCCGTCCCGTAGTCGTTGGCATGTCTCCGTATAACCCCGTTCTCGGCGAGACTCACCACGTCTCCAACGGCTACATCAACGTCCTCACCGAACAAGTAAAATCATTCCATTACAATTATAAAACGAAACAGAATTTTTTTATAGGAAAAGCTCAACAGAAATTCACAATCTATGTAGATATACATGACTTTTTTATACGAAGCTATAATATTAATAATTTAGTTGAATTTACTATCTATATATATTATTCAGGTCGGCTCTGTGGATGCACAGGGTCTATCTAATTTTCTTTTTTTTTTTCCTTTCTTTTTAATAATTGAATTTATTTAAATTAGGGTCCAAATTTTTATATATAAAAATAACATAGAAAATAAGAGCTAATTATTTTTCAGGGTATTTAATCTTTTTGAGCCGACCCTAATATTACTCATCATATATATATGGTTTTGTGTTTTACGTAATAAATTTAACGGTAGGGATATGCACGGATCGGATAACCTAGAATTTAGGAATACTCGGATCCGTCAAACAATTTAGGTATTATACATGCATGGTTAATTTTCAGGTAGTGCATCATCCTCCGGTGTCCGCACTTCATGCAACTCACGAGAAGGAAAAGATTGACGTGACATGGTGTCAATATTTCACTCCTAAATTTCGTGGTATGTTTTTTTTTTTTTTTTTTTTCATTTTAATGTAGTAGTCAAATTGTTTCTGCTACATCCAAATGATCTCAAAACCAAGTCTTTATTTGAATAATCCGTCCAAGAACGAACACAAACATTAATTTTTAACATGCCTCCGGTTTATTCCAAAACCGAAACATCTCGTCTTGGTTCCAACATCTAATTTGTACTCATTTAATGGTTCATAAGGTGCGTACGTGGATGTTGAGGTAAATGGTAAAAGGGTAATGAAGCTTCTGCATCGTAAAGAGACTTATGAGATGGACCAACCGAGACTAATTATGAGATTCTTACCGGCGCCGGGAGCTCACTGGGCCGGAAAAGTCAAGATAAAGTGTCCGGAGACTGATCTCGAAGCTGAGTTACATTTGATCTCCGATTCCTTCATTGAAAGATTCAGAGGCAACAACAACAGATCAATTAAAGGAAAGATCTTTGAATCTTCCTCTGGTAATCAGCTCTATAACATCTATGGCCATTGGGACAGGTAAAGAAACTTGGAATCATAACGTCATTACAGCTCTTAAGAACATGAAAAGCTTTGAAAGATGTCATTAACAACCCCATGATGTTTCAGAACGGTAATGGCAAAAAATCTGAAGACTGGTGAGGTCGAGGTTATCTACAATGCCAAGGAGAATATCACAGGACTCAATCCTCCAACTGTCAAGAATCTGCAGGAGGTAATGGAGAGCGAGTCAACGATGGTGTGGAGTGAAGTAAGTGAGCGAATACTGAAGAAAGATTGGGAAAGAGCAAGAGAAGCTAAGATACTTGTGGAGGAGAAGCAGAGAGAGGCTCTGAAACAGAGAGAGACTTCTGGTGAGTCATGGGTTCCCAAACATTTCTCAGTGGTCAAAAACGGTAAAGACTGGGACTGCTCACCGCCACAGCCCACGGTTCCTCGGGCTCCACTCGTCATCACGGAGAAATAATAAACCAGTTTCAAGATGTCAACACTCCCTATTGATGATATCTTAAGTCATAACAATTCCATGTAACATAAACCAATTGATAACGACCGAACCAGCAAGGAAATCACAAAATGAAACTCTTATAACCAAAAATTTCTGCTCTAATTGCATATAACCGGGCTTTCAGTTTCATCAAGAAACATCAAATTCCAAGAATAATTTCAGTTTCTTCAGAAAATTTACAGTATCTAAAATATCCATCTCTGAGACATATTTGGAACACAATTAGGTCCAAGAATGTGTGTTTAGGTTCAAGAATCCTCTCTCAGACAGCTGTGCTTGTGTAGTTTGGGAAGAGGTTGACCAATGTGTCGAGAGTATCAGGATGGAACTTTCTTGCAAATAGATAACAAGGCCGTGTAATCCCGTTCCATGTACAAGGCCAATGCAGCTCATCTCCATGCTTCAAAAGCACAAGTAAAAGTATTAAAGTGAAAGAGAAAGAATAGAGGCTGCGAGGGACAGTCACAAGAGCATACCTTGCCCACACTGGTGACGTGTACACTCATGTCCTCGGACTGCACAAGCGAGAAAAGAGAAAAGTATAGTAAGATGCTGATTGTGACAATTTTCAAGAGGCAGTGTTTTGAAACATACCGTGACATTTTTCATGAACTCTAGTGAAATTTCGTTTCCTCCGTATGTCTTTGGATGCCACCTTCGTTCAGACCAATCAACATACGTCACTGACCAGTTTGAGATCCCCATGGGATCAATCATCTGAAAGAAAAGCCAGGAAAAATAACAAGATATTTCAGCATCCAGAAGGCTTAAAAAATTGCAAAATATAGGGTGTGAGAAGAATAGACTCACATTGAAGAATGTTGGCAAGTAATGTTCATCGGCAATGCAGTTCTTGTCGGCCTCTATCCCCGGCTAAAATTTATAGAAACTTATTGTCAGAATCAGAACGTAGAACGAAGAGAACTGAAAACTTGTATTGAGCTATATATCAAAAGATTCGGGACAAAAGAATGAAACATGTTCAGCTACAGGGCAAACTTACTCCACAATACTCGCGGAATTTTGAGTAGTAAAGACCATCGGCCATCACTATAATCGCGTGTTGTCGCTTCATTGTGAACCACTGGCAACAAGAAAAGAGAAAATTACACAACAACAAGTGACAAAAAAAAACTCAATTTTGTTTTGCTTTATCGCAGTAGCAGCAAACTGATTAAGACAAGCTCTTAGAGATTAAAGCTTGTCTTCACCTGAGCACCCTTTCTAAAATCTTCCCTGGCTATTTCTGGTAGCATGTGTTCCATATGTCTACCGGTCCCATGTGGACCAGGATCTACAAAACTTGAGAAACAAAGAGATAATTGAAGCTTGTGTCAGTGAGTACTAATGAAGAAATCATTTTTTGTTTAAGAGAGTAATGTACCTCTCAATGAAGCTAACACTGGAGTACAGCAAATATCTATAAGTGTAGTCAAAAGTATGCAACGGAATACAACTGCACACAAAATATATTTGATATGATTTGGTTAGTGCAGAAAACCTTAAGTAAGACATTTAAGAAACAGTTAAATCATTACCTCTCTGAAAGAAGAACAAAGTGTTGGTTGTCAGGATCTTCAAGAGCGCTAACCAGTAACCGCTTCTCGGCATCAACCATAGAAATCCTTCCCCAAGTGACCTCATCACTGTGGATCTCACGATCAGAAAAGTGACGGCTGATGTGAACTGGGCGTTCCTTTGACGGGTGGATATAAATCGAGAATTTCCCTTCATGACCCTTCACAACACCCAAAACCCGCAACAAATCAATGAAATGTAGCTAAAACTTGGACATTGCATCGAGGTGTTTGTTACCTT